AGGTGTGCCTGGGATTGCCACAGCAATCTGTCTGAATGTCAGAGTTTAGAGGGTCGTGAACAGCAGAGTAGAATCCAGCTGGTGGCCTGTACTCAGTGGTGTTCTCCTTGGATCAATACAGAGTCCACTATTATTCAACTTGTTTATCAATGACCTGGACAAAGGAACAGAATGCACCCTCAGCAAATTTACTGATGGTATGAAACTGAGGGGAGTGGCTGATGCACCTGAAGGCTGTGCTGCCATTCAGTGGCATCTTGATAGGCTGGAGAGTTGGGTGGAGAGAAACGTAATGAGGTTCATGAAGGGTCCTGCACCTGGAGAGGAATAAGCCCAAACACCAGTACAGGTTGGGGACTGACCTACCGAAGAGCAGTTATGTAGAAAAGGACCTGGAGAAGAGGAGGCTCAGGGGAGACCTCATCACCCTCTGCAACTCCCTGAAAGGAGGTTGGAGTCAGGTGGGGGTCAGTCTCTTCTCCCAGGCAACCAGCAGGAGGACAAAAGGGCACAGACTCAAGCTCTGCCAGGGCAGGTTTAGGTTAGATATTAGGAAGAGATTTTTTTATGGAGAGAGTGATCAGGCATTGGAATGGGATGCCCAGGGAGGTGGTAGATTCACTGTCCCTGGAGGTTTTCAAGATGCGACTGGATGTGGCACTTAGTGCCATGGTCTAGTAACCATGGTAGGGTTGGACTTGATGATCTTGGAGGTCTTTTCCAACCCAGTTGATTCAATGATTCTATGACCTGGGAGTCTTGGTGAATGTTAAGCTGATCATGAACCAGCAGTGTGCCCTTACAGCCAGCAGGGCCAATGGGATCCTGGGGTGTGTCAAGAAGATTGTGTCCAGCAGGTCAAGGGAGGTGATCCTGCCCCTCTTTTAGTGAGGCCACACATGAAGTACTGTGTCCAGTTCTGGGCTTCTCAGCACAAGAAAGACAAACAGCTTCTGTAGAGGGTCCAGCTGAGGCCACACAGATGATTAGGGGTTGAGCATCTCTTTTATGAGGAGAAACAGAGGGAACTGGGCCTGTTCAGTCTAGAGAAGAGAAAACTAAGAGGGGACCTCATCAATCCATACAAATATCTCCAAGGCAGGTGTCAAGAGCATGGTGCCAGACTCTTCTCAGTGGTGCCCAATGACAGGCCAATGAGCAATGGCCATAAACTAAAATACAAGCAGTGCCACCTCAACAAGAGGAAGAACTTCTTTACACTGAGGGTGTCAGAGCACTGCAACTGGCTGCCCAGGGAGGTCGTTGAGTCTTCATCTCTGGAGACATTCAAATTCCACCTGGATGCTTGTAACTTGTACTAGGTGGCCCTGCCTTGGCAGGTGGATTGGACTAGATGATCTCCAGAGGTTCCTTCCAATCCTAACTATTCTGTGACTCTGTGAAGTCTCACTCTTTAGCCACATGGCTCCACTAATCCTCCAAATTGCCTCAGGTCACTGGGAACCTGGTGGAGACACAGAGGTATCACAACCAGCAGCTCCCACTTACACTGAGCTGCTCCTCTGCCCTGCCACCCTCCAGCTGCAAACATGGGCCCACATGTCAGGGCACTCGTTTGCTTTCCAAAACAGCAGCTTGTATTAAAGTACAAAAATGATTAAAAATACCCTAACAGCTTTCCAGGAAAGAAAGGGAAAATCCATGGCAGGAGGTGGAATTAGATGAGCTTTAAGGTCACTCCCAACCCAAACCAGTCTGGGATTCTATGAACTTTGTACAAATATTTTTCCTGAAGTACCCAACATATCAACACACAGAAATCAGACCTGGAAAGCAAAATAAATTGAGTAGTGGTTTTTTTTGGGTCCCAACTCAGAGAAATGTTTAAGAAGTAACCAAACAAACAAATGACCAAGCACCTATTCTAGGTATTTTACAGCCTTAAAACCTGGCATCTACACACCTTTCAATCCTACTTTCCTTTCAAGCAGACTCTCAAACTCTGAAATGCCTTTAACTCTTTGCATATTCCTGTCTCCTCCACTACTAACCTCATTATCTGGCTCGCAGTTACTGTATTTAGTTGGTCTCTGTGGATTCCTAAGTGTGGATTCTGCCATATTTGTGGGCTGGAAAGAAGTAAACTGCTTTAGATTCAGTGTGCTGAGAACTGCCAAAGTTAAGCTCCCCTCTAAGAGAAGCATCTTGCTGACTGTCAGTCCTGAATTTCTACCCTGAACCAGCACACGACAACAGAAAAGGAGAATTATTTAGAGGAGAAAGAGGAGATAAGAAGAACAAAATGAAGGCAATGAAGAGATGACTCTTAAGGCAGTTGAGGACATAGAGTCATACCATGGTTTGGGTTGGAAGGGACCTTAAAGACCATGTCGTTCCAGCTGTGACTGACTTCACATGGAGAAGGCCCTTCCAGTGCCTGAAGGTGCCAAGGGAGGTGGAGAGGGACTTTCGACAAGGGCAGGAAAAGGGGGAATGGCTTCCCACTGACATAGGACAGAGTTAGATTGAATATTGGGAAGAAATTATAGTCATACCATGGTTTGGGTTGGAAGGGACCTTAAAGACCATGTCGTTCCAGCTGTGACTGACTTCACATGGAGAAGGCCCTTCCAGTGCCTGAAGGTGCCAAGGGAGGTGGAGAGGGACTTTCGACAAGGGCAGGAAAAGGGGGAATGGCTTCCCACTGACATAGGACAGAGTTAGATTGAATATTGGGAAGAAATTATTCCCTTCCCTGGTATGGAAGAAACAGTGGATGTGTTCCTTCCTAAAGATGTAACAAAACATGTGGAATCCAGTGCAAATGGAGCACCCTTCCAAGAACCTAGATGGGCTTCCCAAGAAAAAAAATAAGGAACCAGCCTGGAAGCAAACAAGTCTAATGTAGAGAGACAGAAAAAGAAAAGACAAAAGTGCAAGTCCACCCTGTGTGTCCTGCCACAGAACCCACACAGGGACTTCACTTCCAGAGAGGAACTGCTGTGAAGGGAAGGACTGAATTGTTAAAGGAGCAGAAGTACAAACTTGCGTGGTCAATAGAACAGAGTCCCAAACACAGCACAGGGAAAGTTCTTCTCTGGAATAACATTCCAATTACCTTTTTCTCTGCTTTCTCCTTTCCATGTTCTCTTAAACGTTCTCCATCTTTTTCTCTCTGTCCTTCCTGGTCTCTTCCTCTCTCTCTGTCTTTCTCTCGTCCTCTGTCCCTGCCCTTATCCTTGTCTCTTCCTTTCAATCTGTCTTTTTGCCTTCCTCCTTCATGTTTTCTCTCTCTTTCCTCTTCTTTTTCATGCTCAATGTCATCTTCTTGCTTTGTGTCTCCTCTTCCTTTGTTTTTTTCTGTTTCTCTTCCTTGCTTGGTTGTTCTGCTTTTGCTTCTTTCCCTTTCATGTTTTTCTCTTTCCTTCAAGGTGTCTCTTTGAAGTTCTTTGTGCCTCTCTCCATTCTCCTTCTGTTTATCACTTTCTTTTTCCCTTTCTTCATTCTCTTTCAAATCTCCTTTGGGTTTGCTGTCTCTGCTTGAGCTTCTCTCTTTAATTTCAGCATCTCTTCTGCTCTAAAAAGAAAGTCAACATGGAAAATTAATTCCAGCACAAGGCCATTCCATAACAGTGACTTTACATAGACAAAATGCAAGCTAGAAAGGAAACCCAAGCCAATAAATCATGGTACCCCCCCAAGAATGCAGATTCCTACCTCTTTGTCCCTATGGCTTTTTTGTTCCTCTGCTTTGGCCTCTTTGCTTTCTTTATCCGGAGGTTTAGAGGATGGAGGTTTCCCTTTAGCATCAGCTCTTTCCCCAGCTAAGACCCTTTTCACAGCAGCATCACTGGAGAGCTGCAAGGAACAGAGAAACATCATGGAAATGAAAAAATCTTGTTAGCAAATATCTCCTTTTTGCCTAGCTCTGTAATCAACATGATCTGGAGCTTGGAATTTTCTTCTGTTTGGGTTTTTTTTAGACATTTCTTTCCCAGGAGTAATAATGCACTTTTAAGTCAAACAGCTCCTTTGTAATCCCTGTGATAATCTGATTCTATGACCCAGAGCTACATAATTTTTCTATGTATTATAGCGCAATACCAATTCTCCATGCAGTAGCTTAAATGTTTAGGTCACTCCACTGTCACCTAACAGTTGTTCTACCAGCAACAACCAAACAAACCCTGTCCTACAGACAGGAAATTCTCTTCCCTAAAACAGGAACAGCTGTGAGATCATGAACCCTGGTGGTTCAGTCCTCATTCTCTCCTGGTCTAGAAATGCAAAATGAAAAATTTTTGTGGCCTTTCACCTGTGACACTCAGTTTTGCACATCAGCAACACTTGCCTGAACCAAGGAAGCCCAAGCACTGTGCTCAGCTTGGCATGGAAAGGACCAAGCAGGACACTGAAGGAAATTTTTCCCACAGCACACATCAAGCTTAGAATTCACAATAGAATCACAGAATCAACCAGGTTGGAAAAGACCTCAAAGATCATCAAGTCCAACCCTACCATGGTTACTAGACCACGGCACTAAGTGCCACATCCAGTCTCATCTTGAAAACTGCCAGGGACAGTGAAGCCACCACCTCCTTGGGCAGCCCATTCCAATGCCTGATCAATCCCTCCATAAAAAGTCTTTTCCTAATATCCAATCTAAACCTCCCCTGGCAGAGCTTGAGTCTGTGAAGCCAAGGGACTAATTTAGCTCAGGTGGGTAAACTAGACCCACAGGATATGAAATCTCATCACTACCATCCACAAAGCTCTTCCATTAAGTACATTTGCAAACTCATTCAGTCTCTGTGCGTGTGCAACAATCTCCCCCGTCCTCATCTCAGGCAAAGCTCACAGCACTTAGCAAACTAAAATAAAGTAAGTGGGAAAAGGACTGAGTCCCATGTCCAGTTGTTTGCTGAGTATCTCCAGGGATGGTGACTCCAGCAGTCCCTGGGCAGCCCCTTCCAAGGCCTGACAGCCCTTTCTGGGAAAAAATCATTCCTGATATCCAACCTGGACCTCCCCAGGCACAGCTTGAGGCCCTTTCCTCTCATCCTGTCCCTTGTTCCCTGGGAGCAGAGCCTGACCCCACCTGGCTACACCTCCTGGCAGGAAGTTGTAGAGAACAAGAAGGTCCCCCCGAGCCTCCTTTTCTCCAGGCTGAGCCCCCACAGATCCCTCAGCCACTCCTTGGGCTCCAGCCCCACCCTTAGCTCTGTTCTCTTCCCTAGACACCTCCAGTCCCTCCATGTCCTTCTTGCAGTGAGGGCCCAGATCGGTGCCCAGCACTTGAGGTGCCTCAGCAGTGCCAGCACAGAGGGGTGGGCACTGTCCTGAGCCTGTGGTCACACCACTGCTGACACAGCCAGGACCCCACTGGCCTCTTGCCCACCTGGGCACACTGGGCTCATGTCCAGCTGCTGTCACCAGCACCTCCAGCGTCTTTCCCAGCTTTCCAGCCACTCTTCTCCAATCTTGCAGTGCTCCATGGGGTTTGGCAGGACTCAGTCTTGTTGAACCTCACACCAGCAGCCCATGGATCCAGCCTGTCCAGATTGCTCTGCAGAACCTTCTTGCCCTCCAGCAGATCAACATCCCGTCCATGGATCCAGCCTGTCCAGACTGCTCTGCAGAACCCTCTTGCCCTCCAGCAGATCAACATCCCACTCAGCTTGGTGTGGTCTGTGAACTGACTGAAGGTACGCTTGATCCCCTCACCCAAAGCATCAACAAAGACCAAATAAGCTCTGCTAATAGATCACTGCATGTGCAAAATACATACAGTGATGCCATACCTTATTTAAGCAGCACTTTCCAATTGCTTGCAGAAACTCGTTGGTTTTCTCAGGCTCATGTCCTGCCACCACACGTGCTGGTTTCACTGACAGTGGCTCTCCTGTTACCAGCACAACAGCATCAATTGCCTTCTGAAGGAAGTTGATTTTTGAATCCTTATCCTGTTAAAAGAGCATTGATCCCCACAATTACCAGACGTGCTTTGGGTTTATAACTGTACTTTATAATCAACTTGCCCCAAGTGCCTTTCTGTAGAGCTGATGTCCTTGCAGGGGTTATGCAAAATCAGAATGGAAAAATAAAGGCCAAATAAACAAAGTAAACCAAGGAAAATTTAATTGGAATGTTTTCTGGTCCAGAGAATGAGCTCCTGGTGTGAAGCAGAATACTCAGTGGGGAGAAAAACAGGTTTTTAGTAATAAAATGTAACAAAAATCAAGGAATATTTACCAGCCCAGCACAGAAGGCTCATGCTTTACACTCTCAAGTGAACAGAAGAAGTATTTTACCAGCCTGTTGGAAAGGAAACCCACATAAGGAGAACTCACAAAGCTGTTCACCTGACATCCCAAGCCCCAGAGCCACTTTGCAAATCTAACTGGGCTCTGCTGCAAGCACAGACCTGATGGTTAAACAGCTGGGAAGAGTCTCCAGGGTCTGTGTACTTCCATCTTTGCTCCTTCCAACGGAATTAAAGCAAACAACTGCTACATTTTCAGGGTGTCTCCATTACCATCAAGAGCAATTCAGCCGCCTCAGTGCTCCCTGCATTCAGGGGTTCTCCATCCTTCCAAGGACATAGGCAATCTATGAATTTAGGGAAGGAGACAGGACACTGTTCTAAACCAACTATGTTTACAAGCTTTTCTCCTACATCCTCATCATTTCCAGCACTTATCTGTGTGCTCTGTCCATGCAAGAAATCCTCAAGAACCTGATGAGAAAACTACAGTTCCCACCTACGTCAGTAAACGAAGTTGTATTGAGACAGAAACATGCACCTGAACCAGGACTGAGAGCTTAAGGAAGTGTTTTTCATGGGCAGATTTTAAAACAAAAAGGTATTTCCCTTATTTCAAGTGGCAGAAATTCATCCACAAAAATAAAAGAGGTTTTGTGGACCTGTGCATACACAGATAGAGAGGTGATGTGATATCCAATCTCTTCATATACAAGATAAGAAAGTTTTACTAGACCTGAGAAGATGAACCTTCCTGATAAACAGACAATAGAGCTGGTGCAGGAGGTGCATTTCCTGGAAAGAAATCCCAGCCATTAAGGAATCCTCATGGTCTCAATCCTCCTTACATCTCTCTCCTACTGATTGCTGTGACTGTACATCCTTGAAAGCAACTAGGACTCTAAGGTTACTCTGCTGCTCTTCACAGCTCCAACAGAATTCCCAGTCAGGAAGCAGCTTATGAGAGTCAAGTCTTCCTCCTGTCCAGCACTTTAAGAAGAGGAACACAAGCCAGGGACATTTCCCCCAGCAATCCATGATTTGGATCTCCTCTGCCTCAGCTCTGGGAAACCACAACCTCACAGACTGTGAAGAGAATTCCCAAGTTGCTGCTCGAGACTGGTGCAACTCCACAGCTACCACAGCATATGGATACAAAGACCTAGCCAGGAGTTGCAAGGAAATCTACTTTTTGGATCAACAAGGACAGCACCAGCAAAAAAAATCAGCAATCCACTTAAAAATAACTTCACTGTAGTTGTCCCAACAAAGCTCAGAACAGTCGCAGAAATCAACACACACATCAGAGCCATGATGAGCTGCACCAAGTGCACCACACATGCAAGAAGAGCCTCACAGGCCTGACATTGCAGTTGCTATGTTAAACAAACACCAAGGGATGCAGCTGCCTAAGCAGTAGCACACAGGAAAGCTTCCAAACCAAGCTGGGAGTTGGAGAACGCGGCACCAGCTCAGTCACAAGGGAAGTAAAACTGCAGCAAACAGAGACTAAAGTCACCCTTGGACTTGAGAAAAGTAGTTTTCAATAATTATATTAAGCTCCTCTCCCAGTAATTAGCCATTGTTGTACTGCCAGACCTGGGATATTAAACAGCCTGGAATATTAAACAGGAACATTTAACATAAAAATTTATATACCATATACATATGTCTGTGTAGAAACACACAAATATATAAAGCCAAAGATTCTGCTGAGAGGCCACAAGACTCTTTAAAACCTGTCTTGGGTATCTAATGATTGATTATCAATTTATCAGTCATTATCGACAAGTTATGGGCTATCAATACCTCACTGCTTCAAGGCAATCTTCCTGTAGAATGATTCTTTTCCACATTATCATAGAATTTAAGGGTTGGAATGGACCTTACAGATCATCCAGTCCCAACCCACTGCCCTGGGCAGGGACACATCCTCACTAGATAACATTGCTCAAGGCCTCATCCAGCCTGGCCTTGAAAACCACCAGGGTGGGGGCAGGGTGTAGCCCCTTCAGATATTGCAAAGTTGCTCTGAGGTCTCCACACAGTCTTCTCTTCTCCAGGCTGAACAGCCCCAACTCCCTCAGTCTGTCCTCACAGGGGAGATGCTCCAGTCCACTTAGCAACTTCATGACCTCCTCTGGACTTGCCCCAACAGTTCCATGTCCTTCTTATGTTGAGGGCACCAGAACTGTGTGCAGTATACCAGGTGGGTGCCACAAGAGCAGAGTAGAGGGGAAGAACCACCTCTTTTGACCTGCTGTCCACACTCCTTTGGATGAAGCCCAGGATTGGGTTGGTTTCTGGGCTCCTAGTGCACACTGCAGCTCACTGTGAGTTTCTCATCCAATAAGAACAATAATTTGGACACCTGGATCTGGTCATAGACTAACCCTAACTGTTTTGAAGTCTGTATAGAAATAGCTCTTCACAGACAGCAGCTCATTTGTGTCACACCCACAGGTGCAATCGAGGTATTCACCTCAGGCACTGCCTAGTACTACCCACAGGCAGCAACTTCTACAACTTCTTCACAAAAATACAGACAGATCCTTGATGCCGAATGCAGAAAAAAACCAAAAGAACCTTGAGGCAAGTTTCAAAGGATACTGACATCAAAGTTAAATAATTAAGGAACTCTCATACCTTAACATTATCTGATTTCAGCTCAAAGTCTGTGTAAAGCCCTTTCAGGAAACCTGTCACTCTGATCACCTGGAGAAGAGAAAAAAAGGAGCAAGTTAAGAGCAACAAAGCTTAAGTGGCAGCAGGAAATAGGTTGGTAGGACACCTTGTACACAACTGTTCCTAGGGCAGGTTCAGAGGTCTGGACACACTCTAGGACAATAAGGCTTCAACCTTGCTTAGAGCCCAGGCCTCCCTTCCTGTTCACTTCCTCCTTGAACCTTGGTGTATCCTGGAGGTTTGTGATTTAACCACCACCACATGCATTCTAAATGGCTGTGTGTTATTCCTTCCCTAACCTTTTTCTATATATAGAAAAGCATCTGAGTGAAAATAAAAATTAATACTATTTGTTTGTGGGGTTGTTTTTGTAATGGGAGGTGGAAAAACAACAGTCCAGCAGATTTCATGAAAGATCAAATGCACAGCAGAGTCAGGGCAAGAGTCAAACTCCTCACGGGGTCTAAGAAACACAGAATGGTTTGGGGTGGGAGGGACCCTAAGGACCATCTTGTTCCAACCACCTGCCATGGGCAGGGACATCTTCCACTGTTACATCCAGGGAACAAGTGACAGGATGAGATGAAACAGC